CCCCAAAACCCCAAAACCCCAAAACCCCGCAATACATAATTATGAGTTTGATATTAGCTTAAATTAATATAGTCAACTAAATCAATTTGAATTAAGTAAATTTATATCTTATATAGAAATGTTGATAAAGGAGTAGTTTCACTTTAAATAGTACATTTTAATACTTCTTGCTATAGTATTTTTCTAAGGTACAAGCTGTTTTATATTTGATGGTGGATACTTTGGTGTTATTGGTAGAATGAGCTTTTAAGAGAGATTTATATATACAACTTCTAATGTCCTAGGCTTTTGTTACTATCCAAGAAATGTATTGTTTGCAACCACTCTATTACTTTAAAGAGACATTAATAGAAGCTAGATGAAGAAAAAATCAATTTCTGATTAGAGTCTTATTACTTACAGCTTAAATCTAAAACCTCTAGAGGATCCTCTTCTTTATTATAGTAAGGTTTATAAAAAATCAAACGTGACTCGTATACCTCTTATTACTCATAGAGTATGGATTACTAGTAATGAATCTCCTATAGAATTAACTAATTTTCTAAGAGAGCAACTACTCTAAAATCTAAATAAAACTTATTATAATCTTGATTCATCTGCAGCTTAGAGAGGACTAAATTGGACTCATTACCTATGGATACAAGATAAAAGTCTATTGCCTGAAACAGTATAATTATTTCAAAGCTATGGTGTAGTTGTGAAAGAATTGAAAGATTTGAAATTGTTTGATGAAAAAACAAAGTTCTAATTTGACTTTTACCTCTAAGATTTCAAAGCAGCAGCAGCTGCAAGTGATTTAATGAGAGGCGTTGTAGTCGCTGAGCATGGTGGAATTTACTTTGACAATGACTTTAAAATTGATGAATGGGATTACAACATTAATTATCTTTTTGATTACTATGGAATCAGTTTGTACCTTTGGGCAGCAAGATTTACGCTTAATGGTTTTTTCGCAGCTAAAAAAGGCCACCCAATTGTAGTTCACTATATGGAACAAATGAAAGATTCATTCTCTTTGATTGAAGAAGAAAGACCTCATTACATGAATGAATGTATTTTCAAAACAACTGCAATGATAATGTTTGGAACTGGACCATCTGTTTTAGGAGCAACTGCTTACAATTTCATTAACTAAGATGGCAATTAAGATTATATAGTTTTTGAGTATAATGAAATGTCTGAAACATAAACTACTATGATTGATGAAAACGGAGAAGAGAAACCAGTAACTATTAAATTGAATGGAAGGGATGGATATTCGGCTTCATGGCTAAATGATTTTAGAGATTACTCAAAGTTTGGATGGAGTGATTTAAACTAATTTAATTGATACCGTTTTATAAAATATTATTTGAATTGTTACTTCGACGAATTTATTTAAATTTTAGTCTTGTGGGGTTTTGGGGTTTTGGGG